GTAAAAACAATTGAAAAGCAACATAACATTTGGAGCTAGCATTTGACAATTACTTTGAATGTAAAGAAAAGCCTATAAGACGCGTAAATATTGTGATTCTTTGTAGTTCATTGGAGCTACATCCTGCAGTAATCAATTTTCACCACCAGAGGGCGGCGTCTCTCTCGTTCTTTCTGTTTTTTTTCTTCTTTTTTTATGTTAACTCTTCTGTTTTAATTGGCACAATCCATAATTAGAAGTAATATAAAATAAAAATTAGCAGAATGTAATAACCTGAACAACATATTGTGCATTAAAGGACTGATATCTTATCAGGACTTAAAAAAAAGCAACAACTTAGTAATGCTTTTATTTGACATAGAAAACTGCCCATGAGTTACTGCAACATTAAACTTCCATTTGGGATTAATGATGTGTTTTTTTTAATTCAATTTGAAATGAATTTGCTGTTTCTTTGTTGTCTTTGTCTGTGCCTTATCTGCTGCTCCATTAATGCCATTTGCGTTGGTCTCCTAGAGAAATCCATTTAAACAGCTGCAGTTTGTTCAAAATGCTGCTCCCAGAGTCCGCAATAAGACTATGATCTATACCCTGGCTTTCTCTGAATACTGTTTTCACTGGAGTTTTATTGAATACTCTGAATACTTCTCACTGAAAATATTTTTCAAATACTGTCGTTGGTTTAAAAAGTCTTTGAATGGTAAAGGGACAATATAAATCTCTGCTGTCCTGGTCCACCATTAATGAAACAACCCCTTTCATTAGGATTGTGTCTAATTTCTGTGTCCAGAGCTGGAACCAAACATGGTGAGACAGCATTGAGCTTTTATGCTCCCCATTGGTAGCAAAAACTCCCTGAATATGTCAAAACTCTAAACAGCTTTTAGTCAAAACTATGACTTTTTCCATTACTATGCACTGTAACCTTTATTTCATGTGTATTATTTTCTTTATTGCTATTTTACAACTCTTAGTGTTAATGTTAATTTTTTTATGCAAAGTATTGAGGTTTTTGTGCACATGAAATGTGTTTAATATATAAACAGCTTTCAGAAAATGGATTGATATTTCTAAGTTTACCTTAATAAAAGAAAGATAAGGTAAATGATTGGACAGCAAGAAGAAAGGAACAAGTGATGTGCAAAGTAAGAAGAAAGTAGGTAAATATCTAATGATCTTAAAATATATGTAAAACGATTCTGAAATTAAGACTTAAGACAATCAAAAATCACAACAAACAGGTAAAAGACACAAATCAATAAGGAATTTAAGCTATCATAATATAATTTGAAGGTACCATGACAGTGTGAAGAACTTTGGGAAATCCTGCCTCATCAAAGTATTAATTTTCTTAGGTTTTGACCTATAAAGATTTTCACAGCAAAAAAAATGAACTAAAAGGAAGTGAATTTTTTTTCTGAAAACGAAGAACATATATAAATAACTAATCTTAAGCATATTATATACATTTATCTTATTTCAAGGGCCCAACCGTGAGCCAGACACCCTGTCTACTTAAGGCTAGGCTTAAAACTTCGTTGAGTTATCTCTATAATTATGCTGCTATAGACTTAGACTGCTGGAGGATATAGGAACCACTTTTTATCACTCTATCATCCTATATAGTCTCCCATTCTGCAGTATTTAGTGAGTTCCACATATAACATTATGCTCTCTTTGCTTTTTCTCATCATAGTAGCTTCATCTGGTCTTTACTGATTGGCTGTGACTCCATCCTGGAGAGAAATATCAGCTGTGCTGCTGCCATCAAAACCTTTGTTTGTAGATGTTGGAGCTCAGCCTGTTTTCAGTGTGTTTCTGTTTTCCTTTACTGTGCCTGGCAGAATTGGTGCAGATCTCGTCTGCCTGGCTGTGTGTTTCCTGGACGGGTTGCCCTTTGTATCTCTGCTTCTTTTTCTATGTCTGCTTCTGTCTCCTTGAACCCCAGTTGGCCTCTGCAGATGGCCGCTCAGACTGAGCCTGGTTCTGCTGGAGGTTTCTTCCTGTTAAAAGGGAGTTTTCCTCTCCACTGTCGCTACAAGCATGATTGGTGTGAGAGATCGCTGAAGAGCCAAACTGTCGATGCAATCAGCAGGTTTCCCTTAGAAAACTTTTAACCAATCTGACTGGATGATCTGATTGAATTGTCTTTGTAAAGTGCCATGATGTGTTGTGAATTGGCGCTATATAAATAAACTGAATCGAAATAAGTAAATTAATAAAGAACCAACAAACCTGTAAGGTCTACCATGAAGAATTGAAAGGAAGGACACAATTAAATTCTTTTATTTTTCTTTATTAATTATGATATCACAATATAAATAATATAAAAAGAAAATAAAAAATGAATAAATAAAAGAAAATAAAATAATAAAATAAAAAATAAACACAATTTTATTTTAGTAATCATAATATAATGTAAATAATGCTATAATAAAAGAAAATAAAACATAAATAAATAAAAAATAAATTATTTTTTTAAATGACAATTTCATTTTTTATAAATTATGATATAAAAATATAAATCATATAATAAAAAGAAAATAAACAATAAATAAAAGAAAATTATAAATAAGGAAGGACACAATTTCATTTTTTATTTATTATGATATAATATTAATAATATAAGAAAAAGAAAACAAAAAATAAATAAAAAATAATAAATAGATATAAAATAAAAAAATGAAAAAAGGACACAATTTTATTTTTAAACATTACGGTAATTATAATATAATAATATAAATAATATTATAATAAAAAAAATAAAAAAAATAACAAATACATTTTTTTTTTTTTTAAAAAGAACACAATTTCAAAAGACATAAAGAAGGAAAGAAAGAAAGCAAGCCAGAAAAGACAAAAATTAAAAAGAAAAGAGTTTTTTTCTCTCTCTTTTCTTGGATTAGGTTCCTGGTTTTGAGTTATGTGCTGGGGCCCCAGTATGGGCCCCTGCTCATATAAATAAATGAGCAGTGACATAAAATCCTATTTTAATCTCATCACACTGCAGACATGGTTTTAGTGAAACACCCTCCCAGTTTTCTGCGCTTCATGGACGCTGTGATCAGTTTTCAGCTGAACTCTTTGTTCTGCTCTCAGCTCAGCAGGCAGACTCTCTGCTCAGTGCAGCTGCAGCCGGCAGCCCCCCTCCCTTCCCCCCTCCTTCCCGCGCATGCGCACTGGCTCCTCTGTGCGCTCTACTGTTTGCATTGTGTCTGAACTGCCGGTGAGCTTTAAAAATATTATCCCCACCGCGGCAATGTCGGGCAGGTCGGTCCGAGCGGAGACCCGGAGCAGGGCCAAAGATGACATCAAGAGGGTTATGGCCGCTATTGAGAAAGTACGAAAATGGTAAGAAGAAGAAGCTAGAAAAGTGCAGGCTTCGTTATCTAACAGGAGAAAAGGCTTGTTGGGGGAGGAGAGGGAAGGAGCGAGACAGAGAGAGGGATGAAATAGAAAGATAAAGGGCAGATTTTCTCTCTCAGCAGATCAACTACCGGCTCAGGTGCTAGCGGAGCGCCCCGGTGAGGAGCTCCTTCCTCCCCGCGGCTTTAGGAGGCTGCCCGCGGAAAGCAGACAGCTTGTAGCCGGTGTTTTTCCGCTGATTTTAACGGCAAAAAAAAAAAAAAAAAGGGTTGAACCTAGAAGCCATTTCGCTGCGGTCACATGAAGCCATTGCTGGTCGAGCCTGGAGCCGCTGGCGGCTAAAAACCCGACCAGTCCGGCCGCTGGGGCACATTTAGAGGCCGGAGCTCCGGAGTCAGAGCACTTTAGTCCGCCAGGAGTTTTAAATTAAGCGCTTTGAGTCGCCCTTTAGGTCTGCCGGAGAATGAGACACGGTGGGGGTTGGGAGAGGGAAGTAGGCTGCATGGCTGAACAGCCAGTGACTCAGTCTTTATCTGTTTTACACCACAATTAATCACATTAATCTGCTCGGTAGAAACGGAAAAGAAACGCGTGTTTTTGCGAGGACATGATGTTTATGGATGAAGATGTTTAACTGCGCGCGGGGTCACAAATAATCTGGATTAATTCAGATTAATCAAACGTCTCCGGGTCAAAGGAAGAAGTTTGGTTTCATTTGAACTTTAATATTCTGTGTTCGCAAAACATTAAATATCATCTAAGATTAATATTATTATTTTATTTTATAATATAAATTTGAAATCTCTTTAATTTTCGTTTTTTTCCCTGGAGGGAAAGAATCAGTCAAAAACATCCAGATGTTTCCTTTCACTTTTTTAAAGTTTTTGTTTTTAACTTATGAATTTTCTTCCTTTTTTAATTAAAGCCACGTTAATTTCAATATTAATCTAACAATTGGGCATTGATTGGTTAGTGTCATTACTGGTTATATTGAATATTATAGTTTCTAGAAGATTTTAGAGGTTTTATAACCACTAAAATTTGGTGCTGCACACTTCCAGTAAGCTGGCTGCAAAATGATTTTACTAGGAATGGGCTGATATTTTTTATCAATGTTATCTTTTTTTTTTTTTTTTATCAGAAAAATCGCATTCTGTTCTCTTTAAACAGAAAAAAGTTTGGTTTTATTCTAGCTTTTATATTCTAGTTGTACAAAATAAAAATCAAATGTGATAGGATACTTTACAGTAAATTTAATTATTATAATTTGAATTTTGTGTCCCTTTTAAACTTTTTTTTAGGGTTTCCCAGAAGGGAACAAGTATGTTGAAAACATCCAGATTTTTCCTTTTGCTGTTTTGTTTTTTATTTTTAAATAAAAGCTACATGTTTATATACATTTTAAACAATTAGGAAACAGGTAGTTATTGTTATTTTTGACTAAATATTTTGTTATCTATAAGATTTTAGAGACGGCTTCTTCCTTATATGTTGCTGCACACTGCCAGTAAGCTGGCTGCAAACATTTTTTTTTTGGTATCAACTGCTGTATATATGAATCTTTAATTTCAGTATTTCATTCAGAGGCCATTCTTTGGAATTATTTAAAGTCACTGTTTTCTTTGATTTGTTGAAAAAAGTTTCTAAGTTTAGAGTTGTTAGATGTTTGCTTTCATCATTTTTATCATTGGAGAAGGGAAAGCAATATCTGCCTAAAGAACTAGCAGGACATATCAGCGAGCATTTGGTCTGATGTCCAAATATTATCCGTATCAGCAACGACACAACAATAGGCCCGTAAGCAACATTATCTGGGTTGGCTCCATATGAAGTACAACACTGATAAAGGTTCAGGATATGGCGACGGTTCCATAAATCGGCCAAGAAGATACAATTATGCAATTCTCAGTAGTTATGATCACACGTCACACACGGAAAAATGGTGAGTGTGCACCTTGAATGGAACAATTGGTGACAGAGCACCAATACATGTTACAGACATCCCAAGTTCCAAAAACTCATTTCAGATGCTTATTGAACCGCCGCCGCAGACAACCGACCTGAAACGTGCCCCCATACATAAACACTTCTTCATTCTTCACCTTCACTACACATGGATATACTGTACTTTAGTATATTAGCACAACAAGCCATGGAGCTACATTCAGCTTCACAGCCCCCCTCCTCACCCACGCTCTCACCATTCATCTCCTGATCGCAATCTTCACTCACTACAGCAGCAACGTCCTCCTCTCCCTCTTCGGTTCTTTAAAAGAACGTGTTTATTTTTGGAAGTTTTTTTCCGTTCTTCCAGCAGCTCTTCTTTCCTTTTTCTTTTCTGGAATCCTCTTAAGTACCTCTTTTTGCTATCCATCGTCGCTAACACATTGTCATAACGGTTATGGTTTTAATCTACGCTCTGGATTACCCATAATTCCAAGTCGTAGTATAAAAAATCAAATACATTGTTCTTTTAAGATCTTTATTGCGGTTTGAAACATATTATATGAGTGTATTTTGTTGCCAACTAATGAACTATACACAATTATTAAAGTAGTAATTAAAAGTGCCACTGTCTGCTTTGCTATTGGTGTCGTGTTTAAACGGCTCACCATCATCTGTTACGGTATAAATGCGGTCCAGTGGGGTCAGTCACTTTAGTATCAGGTGGATTTAAGAGGAAGTTTTCGCTCCATTACATCTAGAAAGACACGTCCTTATCTACAATTATGTTGGGGGGCCACCATGTGTCAGTGATGGGGCCTCAAAGAGGTCGTGGGCCCTTAAGCAACTGCTGTCTGACTGATATTTACACCATTGCCTATCAGTTAATACAACCAATTTATCTGTTTGTTAATATGTTCTTATCCTTACAAAGAAGAAAAAAATTGATGTCAGGGTTTTTTTATATGCTAAATAAATAGCTCTTGTTAAAGAGCATTAGAATATAAATAACAGTAAAAGCACAAAAACAAATCAAATATGGTATAAATACATTTTTAAGTTAATTTTATAAAGTGGTATTTCTAATGTAGGTGATCATAATAACGCTCATCCATCCACACCTACCAACAGACACTGGATGGCATCTTTGTAGCGTTATTTTGGTGTTTGTTTGGTAAAGAGAAAATATGTAACATGTAGTGTGGGCGTTTATTGATGGGCCCCAATTTCCTTAATTTTGGGGGATCGGCTGACATTTATCCTCCTCTGCAAAGGTCATCAGTCATTGTTAATCCTGTTAAAACCAGAGTATATTATTTCACAGATATTCAATATTTTTCAGTAAGATCATTGATGAAACATTGATGGCATATTATGAAGGAAAATCTTATTTATACAAGAAAAAATGGATGTCTGTTAAAATCAGAACCCTGTTTTTTGAAGATCGGTGATCAGTCAAAATACTGTGAACCCTAATCTACAAATATGTATGTTTATATTTCATTTTATACAGAAAAGGCCATACTACCGTAGAACTTAATATAAGAGATGGTCCTTTAGTTTTTTGTTAATGAAAAATACTAAATTATTTATTTTTAACAGTTTGTACTCCCCACTAATGTTGTTTTATTTTTTGTTTGCTCTAAAACAAAATGTTAACTTGATCAGAAAGTGCATCATCTACTGAATTGTTCCTTTTCATCATTGGGAACGTTAATATTCATGACATTTTCTCAGAACTTCTCAGAAACCAGCCGTTTCTCAAAGCAGAGACCAAAATATTTCCCAGAAAAGCTTTATTTTTCCAAATTTAAACCTAACAAGTTTTTTTTAAATAATTATTTCAGTAAAACTTCCTTATTAAGTCTTTTTTTCACCAGACGACCCGTTTTAATCTGCTTTTCTGTCTTTCCTGCTCAGGGAGAAGAAATGGGTGACGGTTGGAGACACGTCCCTTCGCATCTACAAGTGGGTGCCGGTGACGGAGCCAAAATCAGACGACGTGAGTCCAGAACTTTAATCTGCTCTGTCACTCTGAATTAACTGTTTCTTACTAAAAAAACATCTTTTTTTTCCCTCTTTCAAATGCCGTTTGTCCCTCCTGTGGTTTAGAAGAACAAAAATAAGAAGAAAGGCAAAGATGATAAATACGGCTCAGAGTTGACGACGCCAGAGAACAGCTCCTCTCCAGGGATGATGGACATGCATGGTGGGTTTTTATAGACGTTTTCCCTCCAATTAAAGACGTCTTCAGTCGTGTTTATAGTGTTTTCTGAGTCACAGACTCTCAATCTCCCTTTTTCCAGATGACAACAGCAACCAGAGCTCCATCGCCGACTCGTCTCCAGTGAAACAGGAGAACAGCTGTAGCACCAGCCCCGCCCCGGAGTCTAACGCCGCATCTCACCGTGACAACGGCGAGGCCAAGACCGACCAGAGCCCAGACAGCAAGAGAGGTCAGACCAAACACAAACTAAAAAGCAGGCTGGCCATGATTTATTTATTTATTTTCATTGTCCTGTCTGGCGATGTGGCAATAAGAATAATTGTCTTGATGCCAAAAAGAGCCCAACAGATTTTTCTTTCAGGAGCTGTACGGCTATTGCCATAGTGTTCCTCTTGATTTATGCATATAAATAGTTTATTATTATTATGCAGGGTGTATTAGATATTATATGGACACCGCAATGTAAGTAGAACAGGAAAGGAAAAACAGGAAAAAGGAGAAAAGATGAAAGAAAGAGGAGATAAAAGGGAGACGATGATAAAACATCTTCAATCTTCTTCATCACCTGCAAGGAGATGTGAAAAGAACAGCACAACCAACGGATATGGTACAAGAGATACAGTAAAGTAGCACATTGATACTATCGCTGAAGTATAAGTAGTATAATTTAATTTGACATGTATACTGTGGTAGCTGAAGATAAGAATATTGGCTTTCTGTATGGAGAGGAATCTCTAAGTTCCTGGAGCCAAGCACCTGTAGTTGTTTTTGAGAGTGCACTTGAGCATGTAAAGTTTATCCAAAGGAAAAATGCTCAATAGTGGTTGTGAAGAGCCAAAGACCCGTCCCCCAGAGCAGGACGGATGTAAAGATGAAATCAGGCGGAGCATGAACAACCTCCTGTTTGTGTTTTTCGTCGATTCGGTCTCACTCAAGCTGAAACAACCACTTCCTCTTTAAATGTACTGCACACCTGTGGCTACAATGACCCCCACAGCATTTAACTGCCAACTTTTCTGCCTTAGCCTTCACAACAAAAGCACACCAAATGATCCCATGCATGCAAACATGTTTTAGTCAGATATTTGGTCCGTTTGCTGTTTTTCATATACAACGCTTATAAAATTCTTTAAATTCATGTTTAATCATCTTTACCAGAAAAAAAAAAAAGAAATAGGGCTCATTCTGACCACTTTTTAGACTACTTTTTTTCGCACGCATAAGAATTTGACGTGTGTTTTGTGGGTGTGGTGTTAGCATCATTAGCAGTTAGCTGTGGGCCGTTTATCATCATTTCCTGGTCTCTTTCATATTAAGTGAAAAGTTAGAAATGCAGCAACATTTACTGACTGCCTGCAGAGGAGGCAGCGGTTGTTGGAATCACTTCTTTTTAGTGGAATAGAGATGCAGGAGATGATAGCAAGGCAGGCTAATGTTGGCATCTCAGCAGGGATGACTTTAATCAAGGAGGATCTGAACAGGCTTCCTGGAGAGAGTATCACTTTCAGACTCTGGATTTTCTTGCAGATTTTAATGAAATCCCAACACATGATTTAGCATAAAGTCAAATTTCTGGTTGATGATGATTCCTTTAATATCCTGCTGCTCCAAAAGAGGCTTCATTAGGTTAATGCAGGTATTATAGTGCTCTAAAAAAACACCTAAAACGTAGAGCTTTATATGAGGTATAATTATAGTTAATATTGTATTGTATAGACTTAGACTTAAACTCAACTTTATTTATCCCTTGGGATTACTCCTTCAGGGAGGTTCTTGTTCTCGTGGATTAAAGTATTCCCGCCATTAGCGATAAAAGAAATCAAATAAATTAACCGTAAATACATTTTAAAAAGTCAATCGAAATCCCTCTTGCATTGTCAGCCAATATTAGCGAAGGAGCTCTCTGGAACTAACTGTATTAGCCAAACAAAAGAAGAAGGGGGAGGGTGCTGTTTGTGCGTTCCTGCATACGTTTGCCAGGAGCTATGGCAACAATTTACCAGCATCATTAACTGACCGTGTATGCGCGTCAAAAATAAGGGTTTGTGCTTTCCTCAACGAACATGACCTCTCACAGCGTGGTTATACTCCCTCAAAAGTGTGTCGCAGGTAAGAGGCAGATATTTTTGCTGAATATTAAAGCGTGGTCTGCGCTATGTTATTCCACACCACAACGCAAGAGGATAGACAATCAGGAACTAGCTGTGGGTCTTGATACGGCCGAGGCGGTGAGGAAGTGGGGGCAAGTTTGTGCGTCAATGGAGGGACACGAGGGCGAAAAAGAGCGGGGATCCAGGTGGAAAAAGGGTCCCAGCGTTCTCGTGCACATCGCTCTTCTAGCTTTACGAGTCGTTTTCCACAATGGCGGTCATACAAACAAAAAAAGCAGGTAAGGTACCAAACAGGAAATGCGCATAGTGTAGAGCGGATGTAGATTTGACCAATCAGAGACCTCCTGTCTGCGGTCACCTACAATTTTGGAAAGGTGCACCAAAGTGTCTGCAGGAGGGGCGGAGGCACATCTGCGTTAACTGCAACATACATGCAGATGACCTGGTTTTTAGAGTAAATCCGCCTTCATTCACACTAGATATAGATGCACTTTTGCCCTCTTCTGGCCGTTTTTGGTATTGGATTTTCAAAAATCTAATTTAGTCGTTTGTTCCATGTTGTCAACTCCTGTCATGCATGTTTTACCTGTTAGGGAAAAAAGTTTGGAAGTTATGAAAACAAGTTAGAAATGAAACTACTTTGCAAAGATAAGAACCAATAAAAAATTTAGAGGTTGTAGAATGGTATTTGTAATTTAGTTAATTAAGGAGGCATTGAGCGTTTTCTAATGATACTGCCACATGTGGCCAAACTCTGAACTGCAGCTCTTTTCTGCTCATACTTGAAGATATATTGGAGGATTTTCGCTAATTTTTAAAAGACCCGCCGTCTCCACTTTAAAAAAAAAAATGCCAATGCACAACCCTGTACCCGTTTCGGAGAGGATACGCGTGCGAGAGCATGCACGAGCCCATTTCTCCTTGTGCACGATCTGTTTAAAATTTGCTGTTCTTATAGCTCGTCAATCGCTATACAGCGGGGATTATATAGTGGACTTTATAGTGAACTCAATTAACTGACCGTTTGGACAGATGATCACTCCTTTTTGCTTCCCGTTATTCAAGTAACTGCTCCTCCACTGCGCGGTGCCTGCGCCATCTTTGTTATTAGTCGCCACTGTCGGGTAGTGACAGAGGTCCGCTGTGACCACAAATACCATAATGCTTTCCGAGGAGAACTCTCCGTGCAAAGCATTCTGGGATATATCTGCCTCTTCTTTTCTTCTCCTACACTTCGTGAACGCTTTTTTTCTTACCACCCTCGGCCATTTTCAAAAAAAACGCTGTGAGAAAGTCGAGCTACTGAGGTGTCAGTCAGCTTATCAAACCATGTTTAAAAAGTAAAGGCTCAAATCAAAAAGCTATTTAAAAGATATTTTTCAGTAAAAACTTGTATTTCTACTTTTGTATAGCTGTTAATCTGTGATTTCTACCTTCTACGCTTTCATTTCCAAAGCATAGAAGGTAAGAGATAAAACGTTTGAGGTTACATGTTTGCAGGAGTTTATAACAAAGATCAACTGATACGGGTTTTTTAAAGCCAATACTGGTTTATTTATTTTTTCTAACCAATCCCTGATATGTGCTGCTGATATTTTCAGGCCGATTCTATGATCCCGTATTACTTCTTCTTTCTTCATTTACATTATAAACATGGAGTGACCAAATGTTAAAATTGTCTTAATTAACATTGATCTAAGGCATGGCAGCTAAATGCACCAATGAATTGGTCGACATGTGAAAGTATCAGCTGATACAAAGATAACTAGAAAAGCATTCGGAGAGCGCAAAACTTCACCAAGCAGCAGCTAAAGCTAAAACTCACATATAATCTGGATCATTTCCATATTAAACTAATTGTTCCTTGGCATGAGGCAAACCTCTGGGAAAACATTTCCATAAAATCCATTCATAAGTTTTCCATTGATCCTGCTAACAAACCAACAATGTTCCCTTTTTTATTGTGTTTTTGTCTTCAGTAAAGTACCTTAGGGTTTTTTTTTGGCTACGTTCACACTGCAGCCTGAAGTGACCCAAATGCGATTTTTAAAATTTTTTTTTTTCCCTGGATCTGATCTTTTCGTGACAGTCTGAACAACACAGATCCAATTTTTTTTCAATCCGACCCAGACCGCTTAGCTATGTGGTCCTGAATCCGATACGAATCTGATCTTTTCAAATGCGACCTGCGTCTGAACGGCCAGGTCGCATTCATCCAACCTGAACGCCATTAATACCCGACAAAGGTCACTATTCTGCGTCTTGCTACACAAAAGCGGCAAGAAAAACACCAACCATGGCAGATGATGATGCGGAGAACAGTATTTATGTTTAAACATATTGAAAAGATTGTGGGTTTTTTTGTTGCAAAAGACCGCTAGATGCACGCCAGCACTACCATCCATGTTTACTTCCGGAAAAAAAGAGCACGCGGACCTGTGACGTCATTGCGTCCTCTAACTTGCATTCTATGACTGCAGTTTACATAGGAGATCACATACATGTCGCATATACTTGGAAATATGAACGGCAACATAAAAAAAATCGGATTTCCAAAAAAAATCGGAATTGAGCATCAAGGCCTGCAGTGAGAACGTAGCCTTTGAGTCTGATGCTGTCAGCAGTCATTACTGCCACCCTCTGGTTTAACTGAGAACTGCTTGTTCCGCCAAATATCCAGAAACTTAAAAAAATCATTGTATCCAGATTAGGATCTGGATCATCACCAAAGTTTAACTCATTGCTTAATAGCTTTAGGGACACATCTAATGAAAATCTCATTAAAATCCGTCCATAGCTGTTCATGCTGTCCTGTACACACAGAGAGACTCTCTGAAAAGCAAAGGCCTCCTTGGTGAAGGTAATAAATGCCAGTATTGGTCAGAAATATCTTCCGGCTGATTTATTGCTCTATCTACAAGGAATAAATACAAGTCTTTAATGTTTTCACATTTAGTGACTTGATTTAGATACCTAATTATCCACTTAGTTGGCTCTTTCCTCACAGCTTTCTCATTTAGCTCTGAACATCTGCTTAGACTTTCTGCTGAAAACGTCATCATGTAGCTGTAGTTTCCTACAGGCCACTTTAGCCTGGTCAATATGCTTTGATACGACTGCTTGGTCGCTTGGCTCTTAATGAAATATGGAGCAAATCCGGTTATGTTTCTAGATGTAATTTTTAGGAAAAAGTTTTTTTTTCCCCTTGTTAAACTGGATTCTTTGCTTTGATCATCTTTAACTCCAATGAGGAGTGTTTCAGGCGCTGCTCTGAAGGAGCTAAGCAGGTCACAGCAGTCACTTCCTGTCTCTTTCTCTCTCTCAACCTTTTAAGAAGTGAAGAACATGGATTTTGGGGAAAACATGCAGATTAGTTGAATGAATGAAAAAGATCGATGATCCTATAATATAGTTCTGGAAGCTGAAAATAGCTCATTAATAATCACTTCTCAATCTATAATGTCCACTTTGTTGATGGATCCCTGTTCCCTGTATAAATATGCAGGCATGGAAGAGATTCATTGATCTGGCTGTGTCCCAAGACTTTGGGAAATATTATGTACATTTGCTTCACAACTTTCTGCCGCTAAAATTTCAAATTGTTTTGTTCCTATTTCTGTTTGTGACCCAGGACCCTTCCCCCACATCAGGACCACCTCCTTATCTCTGATTTTTTTATTCAACTATTAAACCAGACAGCTGGGTAGTTTATTTTAGTATAGCAGCAGAAACATTAAGGAATTTAAAGAGAAAGGAAAACCACCAGGAACGCTGAGGCTCAAATGTCTGTTTTATTAGTTTCTATTTAAATGCAATGTGATCTTATAGAGGAACAGATTTAGTTTAGCTTTTCTCAGCTTCTATGTCTGCTAGATCTGTTCAGCTTTTAATCAATAAGCAAAGAAAACTGACTTGTAGATCATGTAGTTACTCCTTATAGCCACATGAGGCCACTAGAGTGTAAGAAAAGGGGTCACAAAACAACCAGAATGATGATTTTTTTTGTCTGTTTTTTGGTAGAGAAGTGAGCAGCTTGTCTGATTTCTCTGCACTGTGATTTCAGGGAAGACCGTCGCCTCATCAGAGACCTCAGAGAGAGCACAAAGTGCCAAGAGAGACAGTCTGTCCTCAGGGGAGAAGGATTCCTCAGACAGCAAAGCCACTCAGGTATGAACACGTCCGTCTGCAAACCTGTGAGGAAACAGGAACCCGTGTAGCGTTGGTATGTAGGCATTACCTCTGCTCTCTAGGAAAAACAGCTGATGGTTTATGGCAAGCCTTTTTAACATAAATTCGGTTTCGTCTGACCATCCACAAGTACGTTCCAGATATCTATAAATACATTTTGACTAGACAAAACCACATTTTGACTATCTGGAATGGTAATTTAAGATATCTGTATTTACATTCTGATTAGGAAGAATAATAATTCAAGATATCTTAAATTACATTTTGCCTAGTCAAAATTCCTTTCAAGATATCTCAAATTACGACACCAGATTTGTCATTTAAAGTGTCACACGCTGATTTAACTTTTCCTCTTTTGCATTAAACTGACAGTAAGGAATTTTTTAGGAATGATCCTCCTGGAAGCCCATTAAAAAGATCATAACACATTTTGACTTGTCAGAATGTCAATTTAAGATATTGTTAATGAAAAAGCTGAATAATTCAAGATATCTTTAATTCATTTAGAGATATCTTAAAAGGAATTTCGAATAGTCAAAATTACAATTCAAGATATCTTTAAAGTTGTTTTGTCTAGTCATCATTTACTTTTAAGATATCTATAATTTAGTTTTCACTAGTCAAAACTGCATATCTTGAATTATGGTGGCATTTGAGATATCTTTGATTAGAATTATGACTAGTCAAAACAAAGATTTAGATATCTTGAAATTACTTTATGACTAGTTGTAATTTAATGGTGGATATCTGAAATGTGTATTTCAGATATTCAGTAATTCCTTCTAGATATCTTAAATTGTTGTCTCCATAAAAGTTAACGGTAAATCTGACGTCATTTCCACTAGTCAGAATGTAATTAGAGATATCTCGAATAGGTATTTTGACTAGTCAAAATATAGTTTGAGATATCTTAAATCGCTAAAACGTCTAGTCATAAAACAATTTGAGATATCTTGAATGTAAAGGTGTTATAACCGAATTTATGTTAAATGGCTTGCCATAGGAAAAATAAACCAAATGAGGGAGGTCACCTTTTATGGTGCTTCAGGAGGACTTTAAAGCGCAATCTGTCTCATAAAAAGCCTTAAAAACATTACAAATAACCTTCTTTTGTTTTACACATTTTTTTTTCTGATGCAATTACAGTAAAACTTGATATTTAAAGATTGCTAGGATATGCCTTAAATAGTTAAATATGTATGTAACCTTTAATGCGTATGTAGATAAACTAGTTATCTGTAGACAGAGCTGGTGTTCTGTCAGATGAGCAGACCCAGTCAGACCAGTATATCTATAGTCCATACCTGTGTATGTATGTACAAAAAACCTACTTAAAAAACTTAATTACTTTTTTGTGTTTTGTTGAAGTCTGTCTGACCTTAAATAGTTTTTTTTTTTAACATGACTAAAGGGATACATGCCCATCCAGGTACAAAACTAAAGGGATAAACGCAAATCTGACGTCTTGTACATGCGTACTGACTATGGGTATGCTAGTCTGACAGAACACTGGCTCAACCACCCTTAGTATATCAGCTAAAATAAATAATGAACCAGTTGGAAAATCTCCATTAAAATAGAACTGATAGAAGCTTATGGCCGCCTGTTTGTTTGACTTTAATAAAGAATAACAGCAGCCGATTGCTGATAGATCAGAGCTCATCCAGTCTAGAGGATAACGCTCAAACTAGCCGTCACTGCTGGGGGGTCAGACTAGTTGCTGGACTAAACTGCCCTGTTTCTAAACTCTACTCTTATATTAAACTAATCGGAAACCTTTTTGAAGCCTCACCTCCTCATAAAATATCTCCACCTAATAAAAGCTGTACTGAGGATGTTTTCACTCGATCACTTCTTTTATTTTTATATATATATATATATATATATATATATATATATATATATATTAAACTACTCCATTTTACCAGCAACACATTAGATACAGGTAAAGCGCATAAAGCCGACAAGTTTGTCCCCTTTCAGCTACTGTGATCAAAAATGGCGACACAACATGGCGTCTCCCATTGGGTTCACCGCCCCATACGTATTCAGAAACTATTCATTCAAACCAATAAGAGTGCTTTCATTTTTGATGTGATGTTATTAGACTTTTATTAGAATATGTATTTATTAAGTAATTAGATTTTTGCTCTCTAAAAGGCAAATCTGTGACAAACCATCCCTTTAATTCATAAATCTTTGCTTTAGTTGAAACGGCATCAATGACTCCTAGACTCTGATCGTCTTTAGAGTTAGTAAAGACAAACTGTGATAAAACATGGAACAACCGTTGGAGACATTTTAAATGCAACTATAGGTTAGCACAGTTAGCTGCTAACTACTGACCCACAGAGGCTGAGCGCTTTAGAGAAGAAAACATGCAGCCTTCCTGTTCTCTGTTGAAAGGTCGGCTCTCTCCTGCAGAATGAATGAAGAAATCCGGAACTACTGCAGGAATCAGGAGTCCTTATCACTGTTATGTAACCATAGGGACAAAAAAAATGGATCCTCAGAGGAGAACTCCAACATATTGATAGATAACGCAAAGTATTAAATATTAAACTCCATTTTCCTCCATCCTTCTAAGGAACCAAATGAACCTGGACGTTTAGCATGAGGTGTTTATGTTTCTTGGTCCGTCTGTTTTTGGATTTTATGTTTCTGAATCATTTTTCCTGATGGAAGTGGGACAAACCATCAGTCCTCAGGGTGGGGGGATCTGTTGCTGTAGTGGTGCTCTTCTGTTTATTTACAACCAGGATTTAAAAACAACTTCTATGTGCTAAAGCTGATCTTTTGTTTTTTTTATGCTTTTTCTCTCTCACAGGATCTACAGGAGGAGTCCCCGCCCAGCAAGAAAAGCAAACTGGAGTCCTCATCTCAGGACTTTGAGGAGAGCTAAATGTTTTGGGCTGAGTCTTTCTCTCCTCCATCTTCCTGTCTCCCTCCCTCTGTACCTCCTCCCATTAACTCTAGATGATTTAGGGCTAATGGACACACCGGCTCTCTACTTATAGATATATTTCTTTTTTTTTGTTTGTTTTCCTTCTCTCCAAAACCGAAGGGAGAACGGACGTCTCCCTTTCCTGGTCGCCACTTTTACCCAAACACTCCTCCTGCCACCGAGGGAGAATGGATATTACCTCTGTTCACTGGTCCCCTCCGTGCTTCCTTCCAGTCCTCCGCATTGTTTCTGTTTGCCAAGCGAAGCGCCAAACCCAAGCTTCGATCCCGTTTGGGACCAGACGGGGGAAGGGGGCGGCGCCGGCAGCTCAGCTCAGCCCACAACACGAACCCCAACCTGCTTCTGTGACTAGAAGAGTTGCGAGAATAGAACGAGGCCGATCGCAGACGCTGCTCTGAGATCTTTTATTTCACTGCGAACGGTTTAGCTCAGGGGGCTAACCTGATCTCAGATCAGTGGCTGTGGGGGGGAGGGCACGTCTCTTTAATCCTCCCGATTCGCCGCCTCCTCTTAGACTAATGTTCTCTTTTGTTTAGGAAATGTTTAATTATTATTATTTTTTAGCTTTTTTCTCCCTCAGGAGGGTCAATGCACTGTTATGGTTATGTCACAATCGATCACAGATAGATTTGCTGCTGTAGTGGAAGTCTTTTATCTCTATCCATGAAAAAGTTCTCCATGTTTCTGTTTCCTAAAGTGAATTAGCTGGCGGTTTGTAGAGTGAGAAGGCGACGGTACACGCTGAGATCAGCTGGGAGAAGGAACGAGTGTGTCCTGGAGGTGTGTGCCTTGAGTTGTTACGACTTCCACAAGTTTTAGTTCAAGCAGGTTTGGACTTCAGTTTTGGTGCCATGTTCTGTTTTTTTTGCCTTATAACTGTCACTAATTAGTTTTTTTTTTCAAATTATTTATATTTACCTCCACCTTATTAGGATGTTTGTTTTTTTTTGTTTTTTTTAAGGAAATATTTGGGAGATATTAGCTTCCTTGTTGCGAGTCAAATATTAATGTGATAGAGAGCGACACTGTGGAGGTTTTTATAACACAATACATGCATAAACAGGCAGTTTTACCTGTTAGATTAATTTGGGGGATTCAGGATTAATGCAAAGTAGCAGCAAGGAAGCGCCTGACTCTTATAAACACATTAAGATTAGATTGAACACTACCCACAAGTTGATCATGTTCTTTCTTTGAAGCTCCTGCAAACTCTTCAGGATCTTATCACTGTTTTTACTTCTTTTTTTCCTTCCCACGTTACGACCACTCGCCTTTAATCACCTTCTATCTCTGCGTCACTACTTCTCTATGACCCACTTATGCTGGTGTCACTCGCCACTTAAAGAACTTAAAGATAAAATGTAAGGGTCGAGTTTTTTTTTTCCGCTCTAATCCTCCTTCAAGGTGCTGTCTGTGGGCTGAATCCATACTCGCGTGGCATCGCTCCTGACTGTGTGCTGATCAGTGCAGTTTACTTGAACTTTAAAGTACGGATTCAGACCTACGACCTCTCATTTAAAAAAAAAAAAAACCTCACTCATGTTAGATTTACTTTCTTTAATCACTCCTGGATGAATTGAGATCAACTGAATCGCTGAGAACCAGGACAGCGCGGGGCTACGCATCACAACCCAGAATCAGATTTCAGCCAATCAGCATTCACACGGATGGAGAGGAAAGAATGAGAGCGTCGTCTGTTCAGAGGGTGGATTAGCATATACCTCATTCCCAGTCCAGCAGAGCTGGAACTTAAAATGCTATTGTATTGACATCGACAGTTAGAAACAGCATTATTTACGCTCGGTTTGTTTGTAGAAAAAAAAATTCTCACCCATGTTGTAGCGTTCACCTGATTGAGCCGATTGTTTTATAGTTTGCTCATAACTGTGTGTAAAAATTAAAATGAGAAAAAAAAAGAGCTGTGAGATGATAAAAAGTTGTTTTTTTCCCCCTTGGGACCATTTTGTTTTTCCTTTAGATCTTGTACAGATTTATGGTTTGGTTTGACTTATTTATTCCATCAGTAGTGCTTGGTTTTGTTTTTATCATGTCCAATGGTTTTTGTTTTCTTAATAAAAGTCATGAAAATCTTTTGTCTCTGTCTGTCAGGAACTAAACAAATTCATTTTAGAACAAAAAATATGGATTTGACTATTTATTCACTGGTTCATTATCAGCCATGGCTTATAAAAAGACTGAAACTATAAATTATCACCAGATGAAGTTTCCCCGTTTAAATGCTGAAACAAATTCTTACTCAGAAATCTTGAAACTTAGCAGTAAACATTGCAGCACAACCTTTATCTGCTCATTTTCTTCAGGGTTTAACCTCATAGAATAGAAGTGCCTGGAGCTGCTTCTTGTAGTTAAGAACACAATTACAGATCTCACTGGTTCTCCATCTGGCATTAAACTAAGTAATGTCTTTTTTTTTTTTTTTTTTTTATAGATACAAGTTCCAACATTGAGAAAAATCCATATTTTTAAACTCCATTGGAAACAAGAGCAGACATTTTGGCTGCAAGTTTAGGATATTCCTAAAGACACCTTTGCTGTTTCTCAGTTTAGAAGACTGAAATGTCAGGGTTGTTTTTACAGCAATGGTATACTTTATTTAAAAATTAATTTTTACTTGTTTAATTGTGGAATGACTGTAGTTCCATTATTGTTGCAAACAAAGAATACGTCTTGTAAGTGGAAATATGAAAAAGAAAACGATTTGAAAAATTGTCTAACAAAAATGATTTTGAGAGAAACGTAGTTTTTTTAGGTTTTTTGTTTAAAAAAAAAGTTTTTTTTTTTCACTAATGTTATATTTATATATACATTTATATATATTTATATTATATTTGTTAAAAAAGTATATATAGTTTTTTCATCTTGAGTTATATAATTTGTATTCCTCCAAGCTCAACACTAACGCTTGCTCCTTTAGTGCAAATTGACCAACTTAAAAAGAATGAAATCTGTTAATCTGAATTTGAAAATAAAAACATTTGAAATCATTAAATCTAAAAAACATTTTTTACCAAAAAAAAAAAAAAATCTGAGAAAACAGAAAAGAGACTCAAAACCTCTATTTTAATGCAAACTTTCAAAGTTTGTTTTCCTGATTGCCTTCAAAAAAATATACTCTTTGCTTGCAACAATGGAACAAAATTCACTCTATTCACTAAGAAAACAAAAAGTTAGTTTACAGATAATCCCAATATAATTCCTAAACCGAATAGCATTATTAAAATAACCCTGTAATAATAATGGTGTGATGTGATGGGAAGGAGGCGTTCCAACCTTGATAACTTGAAACTTATTCCTAAAGAAACGTAACTGAAAAACCAGAATCATGCTTTAAAAAAATTGCTTTAATTTTAAGGAAAACAAATGGTGTAAGTTGTGGGCTTATTTTACGAAATCAAATATTTTTCATATTGTAAAAAAACACTTTTAAGATCCTAATTGTAAAAATGAGTGATCATTGAAATGAAAAGTACAGAAGATATGTATACAACTAAAAATATGTTCTAATTTATTATAATCCAGATTCTGGTTTAAATAATCTTATTCATGTGATCTAAAATATATATATAAAAAAAAATACTGCTGGGAAATTAAATGAAAACATGACAACACAAAACCCTTCTTAGAATTTCTATTGGAGCGTTCAGGAATATACAGTACATAGAAAACAGTGACATTTTACAACATATTGACGTCTGTAAAATACTCGTTTGTGCAGATATTACGTATAAAACATTACACCAACAATTAGTCATCACTTAAAAAGTACACAACGTATAGAATCTTCTACAAACCATTTTCCCACTGGGACTGTATAAGTTTAGTCGTTTTAACTGGCAGAAAAATAAAATGCAGCACATAAAAGCTTAATTTTTGGTTCATGGCACAGTGTTCACATGCGTCAGAAGGAAACCTCTGATTCTTATTTACAGACACTAGAGCCAAACAGTTCTTTGCATGATTTTTTTTTTTTACACGGGAAGATTCAATATGATCCAAAATTTGTGCTTTAGAACAAAACATGTCCAAAGATTGTTGCTACAGGAGGTTCGATTAAATAAAACAGTTTTCCATTTGAGGAAATCTTCACTTTTACACTTACATGAAAGCTAAAGCTAGCAGGTTGTACGACCAGCCTCCGTCATTCAAAAAAGAAGGTCAATGACACAATATTTAGTGTTCAAAAATATTCATATTTTTCAATTTTAACTTTTTATTCTTCATTAAAGCTAAAGCTAGCAGGTTGTTAGCTCAGCGTAGCTAGAACATATTGTGAACGACCAGCCTCCATCACCCAAAAAAGAAAAGGTCAATTACACAATATTTAGTACTAGTTAAAAAAAACAATGTGTTCAAAAATATTCATATTTTTCAATGTTAACCTTTTATTCTTCAATTAAAGCTAAAGCTAGCAGGTTATTAGCTTAGCTCAGCTAGACCATAGTGTGACCGACAAGCCTCCGTCATTCATAAAAAAAAAAGGTCAATGACATAATATTTAGTACTGTTTAAAAAAAGAGAGGATGTGTTCTAAAATATGATTAAAATGTGTAGATTTTAACATTTTATTCTTCAATTAAAGCTTAAGCAGCAAGTTGTTAGCTTAGCTCAGCTAGAACACAGTGACTGACCAGCCTACCATTTTCATATATAACTCGCTTATGAAACAATATTTATTGGTTTTTTAACAGTTTTTTTAAGAGAATATGTTATAAAATAGAATATGATTAATCTTTTACATAATTTCATGTTGAGGAAAATGTTGATTCACTCCGAATTATTCTAATGTACCTACATATCTGTACCTAAATCTAAAGGTGCAATGAGGAAAACTTTTCCTATGTGTAAAAGTGAGCTAGTTGGAGTACATTTGTGCTTTTAGATGTGTTCAAACTTGGCCTACCTACTGAGCTATGGACTTAAAGTCAACCCTGAGGCTAAACAGACTTAATTTACCCATTAAATCTATAGGATTTAAACTGATATTCGTCAATGTTTAAGCGAATGCCTACAGATTAACGCCGTATATTAATGACTGTTAATACAAATAATATCAGGAGGTTCAGACGAGAACTCAAATAGACCTGAACTTAATTTGTTATGAACTCATTTTCATCGTTATTCCAGATGTCATAAACAGATTTTAGAGCTATAATTTTAGAAATTACAATAAGAGTGGTGAATATGAGGACACATTTACACGTCTGTACTGTACTGACGGATGGAAAGATGCATATTTTTCCAGAATGTCAAACATTAGAGCTGAATCGATCAGACCTTTGCTATAGATCTCCAGGGCAGACACTCCCTTACATTCTTCCACACGGCCAATCATTTCCAACACATGTCATAATAATGAGAAAGTACATTTTAAAGCAATATTAAACCAAAAAGCAGTAAACATAAAAAAATATCCTGGAACTGTGGACCATAAAGTGTGTGGCTGTGTAGTAAATATTTTTCTTATTCTCTTCTACTTTAAACTTTAGAAACACATAAAAAATCTGACTTCAAATATTGAGAAAATGTTCACTTCTACACCAAATAGCCTACATACAAATGGACCATTGTTTTTTTCCCCAAATTAAAAAAGAACACTTTGTACTGTTGCTGATAATATTTTATATTCAACCTAAACTTTTTGTTCTATTAAACTAAAACTCTTACTCTTTTAGTTCCAACATGTTTTTATTGAATTATTTCAACTATCTTGGGTATCTGTGATTAACTGAGCCAAGTTAAGAAGCATTAATGTCATCTAATAATTAAGTACATCTACTTAATTACAGTACTTTTACCTAAGGGAAGGGATAGAGTATCCTGAATATGTTCCAGCTCTGAAAGTGAACGAGTTCTGCATCTTGGGATGTTCCGAACCGATACTGATATCGGAAATCGGTCAGACTTCGGCCAAAAAGGCTAGATATGGGAAATATATTGGCATGTGTCTAACATCTTCAATGTAATCAACTTTGCTTATATTTGCTATAGGTTAAGATTCCAGTAACCTATGAGTGAATGAAGCATCTGTTGCTACCGACTTTTGTTCTCTGTGATTAATATCACTAAATATCAACGCTACAAAATGAGTAATAAAAGTATGTATGATTCATGCTGATATCGTATCAGATTAATATCGGTATCAATCAACACTAACATCTGCAATATCTGTTAGGTAACAAGTTGTGATTTTTCCAAGACGACTATTTGGTAACCTTGGAATTGTCCAGACGTGAGTCAGAGGTGAGATGTCAGAGGTTAATGCCCTAAAACATTCTGTAAATTAAAACCTTTTATCGCAAAATCCCTAAATAAATGCCACCGTTTAGCTTTGGAGGGCAGTTTTACAGCTAGAGAGGAGTCTGCGTTTCCCTTCTGAACGAATGACAGTAACTCTGATGCTGCAGCTTTCTAAAATCTTTAAAGTCGTAGGAAAGCGGCTGTTCCGGCCTTTGCTTTTCCGAATTCTCCCGAGTGGTGCCCGATTTTACACGAGTGAATAAAGTGAATGTGTGGTGGAGGGTTCACAAGCAAGTTTGGGTGTGGCCGGTTTGTCGGGAGCATCTTGCTAACCAGTTAGCAACTTAGTGCTAGTAGGTTCCCAATGGGAAATTCCATTGGGACCAAGTAGCACTAAATTGGTGACTTAGAAACGACGCTGTCAAGGAACGCTATGGACAGAGGAAACATGCAAGAGGAGGAGAGTTTAGTGTCGGAGGTCGTGGATGAGTTCGGACGAAGATGTTGTGGAAGAGGACGCCAGGGCGGCAGAAGCTTGGTTTGGTGTAGAAGGCTTCCAGCCGTACATGTTTGAGCCCTTGCCTCGCAACGCTGCCAGTTCTGTTAGCTCTACGCCTGCTGAAGACACAGACGTCCATCCCCGTGAACACTGGGACGCAACTCAATGGGAAAGGAAATTATTCTTATTTTAACCGTTGCGTATATTAGCTGCGACATATGAATCAAGATGTTATGACTGAAAAAATTTGATTGACAGATGACCGTTGATATATGATTGGGCGGATTTGGGGGTTCAAGCTGACAAATAACTAACTGACCTGCATAAAATAAAAAATAAAAAAAAAATAACAATTTTAAGACAGGATTTTTTTTAAATAGAAATTTCCTAACTTTTGAGACAATATCGTCTGATAAGGAATACATTTATTCACAAGTTTAAGCCAGAATGATTTGACTTTAAATATGACTTCCCTACGACTTTAAAATAGAAAGGGTGATACTAACAGAAGCAAAGGTGCGTCTCATATACCTCATCAGTCCTGCTTCGACTTCATCAGCTCCAGCTTATTTCCCTGTAATGATGATCACTTCATGGCTAAAAAGATCTGGAGATTAATAACTAAACTTTATCATCCTCTCAAAACTCCTGCAGCTTTGAGCAGCGGCCTATAGAGGGCGACACGCAGCAATGTTCAACTGTGGCCTTAAACACAGAAGCTGATGAAAAAAGAACAACAACAAAAAAACTATGAGGTAAAGAGCTGCAACTTGAAATCCTAACTTTAAAACAAAAGTAAATCATTAAAGCTGTTATGAAATGTAAAGCAAGTAAAATAGTCACACCTGGACACCATAACTGTACTGTGTGTTTTTTGATTGAAAGCTCCTCAACAGCTTTTAAACTGATGATGATATAATGAAGAAGAAACTTCATATTTTAACTTATCTTCATTCTGTGTCTGAGCCATCGAAAAATTATCTGAAAACTCAGGAGGATAAATGATAGGAGAAATCTCCATGACCTTCTTGTTAGGGAATCCCACAAATACTTCCACAGCCCTGGATTAGAACATCAACATTCAACTCTAAGAGATTATTTCCACCATGCGGTCTAACATCGGTGCAACTATTAAAGTGTTTTTAAATATGTAAAGTTTTAACAAAGATGTAGTTACATTGCAAAAAACAAAAAACTTTTGATAAAAAATATATAATTTAAAATCTCTTTAAAAATGAAAGAGTTAAATAATTTTGTGTTCAGACAGTGCATAAATGTACAAGAGGATCAAGAATATTTAGATCAAAAACTGCATGATAACATTAACAGTTTCACAATAATAAAACGTTTAAAGGTAAGCATTGTTACAAAGCTGTGAGTTAACAATTTAAAGAATATCCTACATTTTTTCCCCACATTTTCTCGTTAGTACCACAAATCTCATGGTATTAAATCGAGACTTTATAAAATGACCAAACACTAATTCCTTCATAACTGTGACTCGGAAAGAGGAAAATCATGGGGTTTTTTTGTATTAGAAAATATAGCCTTTAGAAGTAGAAAACTATTTTGTATTTTGGGCTTCAGATGTTTTTTTATTTTTTTTAATTTGGAGAAAATTAGTTTGTTGTCAAAACTTAAAGCAACACTGTGCAACGTTTAGCCACTAGGGGCGCTAGACCCCTATCCTACAGGTTTAGCTGTATGCTGTTAAATGCTTCATTAAATATTTAGATGTCCCATTAAATAAATAAAACAAAAACATTTAATTTAAAAGGAAAATAATTACTTAAATATAGAGGGAAGTAATTAACTGAATTTGTATTTTTAGGGATTTGCCAGTTTGTTGCATTGTTATTTTTGTAGGGTCACGGGCTGAAATGTTTACTCTGGACTAAATCTTACATCAGAGAACCAAAAATATGTCTGATCTGTTAAGGGTTGAATGTTAAACAGGTGCTTGCTAAAAAAACAACTTTACTTTGTTAATTGTAGTTATTAAGGGGAGCTCAGACTGAGGTAAAGCGATGCTCCGGGTCACATGACTCATTAAAGACAGATCCGCGGTTATTGAGTAGCATAGAGCATCAATATGCAAAAACCACTGACCTGAAAAATCATTTTATATATCTCAAATAAAGCTGATATTTCTCTCAAAAGTTACAGAGTGTTGCTTTAACAAAATGTGGAGGAATGAGCAAGACTATTCTGAGAACAATTCTTCCTGGCTCTTATTTCTATGATGGAGTATTAGGGCCAGACTAAAGAGAAGTTTGCTTTTGACGGGCTATACTATCATGTGAATAAAATAGAAGAATTACAAGAACAAAGACATTATATCAAGGGTTTGAAGACAGAACATTAGAAAGTTGTAAAATTGCAAGAATAAAGTCATAACACTATAAAATAAAGATGCAGTATTACTAGGATAAAGTCATAATATTAGTAGATTGAAATTATAACATTACTAATAAATAGTATTAAGAGATTAAAGTTGCAATATTACAATAATAAGGCCATAACATTACAAACAAGATTAAAATGATAAATTCACAAGAGTAATGTCATAACATTATGAGAAAATTTATATTAAGAGATTAAAGTCATAATATTGTGGGAATGAGGTCATAACATTATGACGATAAAGTTATAACATTATGAGACAAAAGTTGTAATATTACAAGCTTTAAGTTGTCATATTATGAGATTCACTTCAATTAAGTTTGTTTTTAGCTTACCAATTCACAACACATCATCTCAAGGCACTTTACAGAGTCTTTGTAGATTAAAGTCGTAACATTACGAGTGTAAAGGTCATAGTATTACAAGCTTAAATATGATATTATTATGTGTTTCCTGGACGGGGCCGCCTTTTACAGCTGCTTTTTGTATCTCTGCTTCTGTCTCCTTGAACCCCAGTCGACCTCTGCAGATGGCCGCTCACACTGAGCCTGGTTCTGCTGGAGGTTTCTTCCTGTTTAAAGGGAGTTTTTCCTCTCCACTGTCGCTACAAGCATGCTTAGTGTGAGGGATTGCCTTTTAGTCAATGAGTCGATGCAATCAACTGGTTTTCCTTAGATAGAAAACTTTGAATCAATCTGAGTGGATGATCTGGTGAACTGTAAAGAGCCTTGAGATGACAGGTGTTGTGAATTGGTGCTATAGAAATAAACTGAATTGAATATTATGAGGAAAAAAGTCATAGTATTATGAGAAAAAGTCTTAATATTAAGAGATTAAAGTCAAAACATTTTTAAAGTTACATTATTATGAGGATATTCATAATATTATGAGATTTAAGTTTTAAAATCACAAGATTGAAGCTGTAACATTAAAACTTCTAAGTCATAATATTACTGGAAAATAGTCGTAATTTATGATAATAAAGTTGCAACATTACAAGTTTAAAGTCATAATATTAGGTGGTTAAAGCCAATATTATTTAATGAGAGCTCTTGCGCTGTCATCTCCTGCATTGAAATGAGGAATGTTGAGAATCCTGTCCTAAATGTTCTCATTGGTTTTACAAATAAGGAAATGAAACCTTTTCGCCCATCGTCAAATTATTAGGCTATAATGTTTACAAACTGAGCTTTTTAGCGTAATATTTTGAGAATAATGTCATAATCTTATTCTTTTTTTTCACCTAGTCTGGCCATAATACTCTGTCATATATATTTTAACTGGAACAATGACTATGCTAATAAAACAGCATAAATCCTTAGTTTTAATGAGGCAGTACGGAGGCGTATTGCATTCACCAAAGACAAAAAAAAAAATCACACCACTTATCTCATAATTATGAGATCTTATCCATATATTTGGTTATGATTACTTGAGCCAGTAATGTAGCATCTCTCAGAAAATGTCTTCATGATTATTTCTTAAAAATATCTGCATCCGTTTCACTGAACAGTTCTCTGTATCGAGGTCTGACTTGATACGCCTTGGAGTTCTTCTCCTGTTTTCCACTTCATCAATAAGTACCCAGCTATAACCCAGTGATTACTACTTGTGGAATAAGCATGCAGCCATATGACCATTTGGGAAAACCCATTAAGAGCTCCATTAATACAGATTCTGTATGATTTTTTGTTTTCATATGAATCGACATGCTGCATGAAGCTGGGACCTAGGTTTCTGTAGAGAAGTCATTTTGAACGATTCTGAAGCTTCAGCTGCACTCCTTAAGGATCTAGGATTTTGAGCAGGTACTGGATAGTTATTTAGGACACCACCAAGCCAGCTTGAATGTATTTCAGATGCTTTCATTTATAGCCATAAAGCATCCCGTGCTGGTTTAATTGCTCCTGCAGGAACAGTGCGACTTCCAGCGAGTCAGAGTAGAGTGAGCTTTTTCACCCAAAAAATTCTAAGAAACTTACTGCGCAATGCTGACAAACTAAAACTAATTCCATCCAAATTGAGGAGACTCATTATTTCCCAGTGTTGCATACCTAAAAAGAAATAAAAGCAGATTAAATCCGACAAAGCACTCATTGTTCACGTTTTATGTAGCATAACTCAGAAATGAATGTCCTTCCTTATTTCCTAACTATAACATATTATCTCATAATTACGAAATACTGATCTTGTAATTATTAGATACGCTTTGAGATTTTTTTTTTTTCTTTGGTGAATGCAATACGCTTCCGTAAGGCAGTGGGGCTTATTAATGAACTTATTAGAAAACAGAATAGAGTACAGATCCTTCGGTTTTAACTGTGCTTCATCTAGCTGCATCACTTTGTTGCCAAAAAACAACCCTAAAAACAACACGTGAAAAATTACTTCTACTTATTATAAAAAATAAAAACATAAACTTCTAAATATGTATAAAATAACAAGTGCAGAAAGCAAATTTAATTTGATATAAATATCAATATTGCACCAAAGAAGCATATTTGGACAAGCATCCTGCATCGCGATCGGAACACTATTCTCAGAAAAGGGTTAAGTTAGGATGGTTGTTACCACAGCGACGCATCATTACAGTATAAAAATACACTATGGGAAAAACTTGTGTTTAGCTGGAGTGTAAGAAATACATCAGGAGGGAGAGTAACAGAGGAGTGACCTCTTTAGAAGGTCTGGTCATCGTTACATGACTCGGTGGCGTGCCCGAAGGCCTCGCAGATGTCGCAGTAGGGCCTCACGTCAGTCGGGTTGCCGTGGTAACTGCTGTGAGGTACGGAGTCGGGGCTCTGGGCCTGTGTGGGACAGTCCTCCGTGTCGTGGAGGTCAAAGCAATCGCAGATGTCGCAGAAAAGACGCGGAGTCGCCTTCTTTTCACGCTTTGGTACTGAATCATCAAACCTATCATAGACATAAAAGAATTTAAACTTTACTGTCACCGACACACCTCAAAACCAGTATCACTCCAGGCAGCCATTTTTTTTTACCCGTCTGTGCCGTCGTTTCCATTGAACTCAGCCAATGCAAGCTTCTTTAACTTGATCTTCAGCTCCTCGTTCTTCCTCTGCAGGTCCACTATGACGCTGTTCAGGAAGTTGATCTGATGGAGTCCAACACACAGATTATTGTATATTTATTATATAAGACAAGATGAAAGAAATCTTTTGGGCACTATCTAAGCCTTTGCAGAAGGCCTCACCTGCCCCTCAGCAAACTCTTTCTCTTCCCTCAGCTGCTGCAGGACAGCATCCCCTGCAAGAGCAGACACATTAATCTGCAGTCAAACTCTGAGCCGAGGACTTCAGTGAATGTTTCCTCACCTGAGTGGGGAGCCTCTCTGTCTCCTCCGTCTGAGGCCTGGGTTCCCGTCAATCTTTGCTCCAGACTGTGAACACGACTCTGCAGCTGAGCTTTGTCCTTCTCCAACGTCTCCACAGCCGACTGCAGCGTCTTTGCCATGGCGTTCTCTCCACGCAGTACGGCGATCTGCAAAGATGGAAGAGGCTTTACAGACCCATGTGGAAAACGACTGAAAGCTGGGATCCTGATCTTCGTACCTCGTTCCTCAGAGTTTCCAATTCTTTGTCTTTGTCTGAGATCAAAGCTCCCATGGATTTCTGAAAATCGACGTCCCCCTTCATGTCCTGATTTAAAACAGCGTCTCTGTAGAGCAAATAAAAAAAACAATCTTCAAACGGAATATTTCTGCATTCAAATCGATCAGACGCCAGTGAAACCTTGCTGCCCCTCCTCTATCTGTTGCTGAAATGGCTAGAATGCGGCTACAGATCCGGAGTTACAGCCTGGCTAAATCTGATCTCACTCAATATGCAGTTAAACACAAAAAGTGTCAAATTTTTTAAAGATTTATGGTGTTTTTCTATATTTTAAGATTGCATATTGTGTTTTTTCTCACAACTTTAAAGACTACTTTTGTTGGCAATAAAATCTGCTTATTGTGAAATGAATTTTAGGAATAACAGAATATTGTCACCAATTCGGCTCTCGGTAACAGTTCTTTAAAATCAGTTGCCATCGTTGAACACAAGAAGTTTTACCTAAAGAAAACAGAAGAGGCTAAACATATTTGGTGTTTATGTTCTAACAGCAATTAATTTCAAACAGTAGTTAAGTAGGTTTGAATGTTTTTTCTGCCTTAAGAATTAAACCCTTCTTTAAACAAGCATGCAAAAAAACTAAATATAATAATAAATCAGAAAGGAGGGAAATATGTTTTCACACAACTCTAAGCGAGCTGCTTAGGAGATTTTTAAATGGAAGTTTGAAAATTTTCATTTTCTTAGATTTTATATATTTCCAAATGATTTTTTTCACATTGAATTTTTTTCAAATGTAATTTCTCAAAATTTAATTTATACTTTTAATTTTTACAGATTTTATATTTAGAAATTTAACTTTTTTTCATATTTCTCTTTTTCAGGATGGGTTATCCAAATTGCATTATTTTCTTATTTGGTTTCACGGATCACATTCAGTTACTTCAAGCCAACTGAAAATGCTCACTCGTGATCAATGACAAATGAAAATGTGGTTGCTACCGTCCAGCAGACCAATAAAAATGCATCTTTGCTCCCGGCTCCAGAGGAAGGCCCGCCCCAGGAGGGGAGATAAAGTGATCCGTAAAAGCTAGTTTAAAAAGAATGCAATTCTTACAACTCAATTAACAAAAAGAAATACTGACCATTAAAATTTTGAAAAACATCTGTTGAAAGTTTACTTTCTTTAAGAAAAAAACAAAATTTAAATAAATCTATCAAATTAAAACATTTTTAAAAATAAAATCTGTAAAAGAATGTGGAAAAAATTATGTGAAACATAAAAAATATATATATAAAAAAATCAAATATGTAAAAGAATTGAAAAAATATATATATATATTTTAATTTCCATTTAGAAAAGCTTTTTTAAATTCCCAATTTTAAAATGTGTTATTTGCTACCAACAATAAAGGGACATTCTCCATAGAATCTGCGTACTGTTCACCATTAAACAAACCAACCTGATCAGTGAAATACAGAAGCCATTGTTGACTGTCCACACAAATAAACACGCACTTAACTACAAGTTGGGAAACTTAACCTGCTTTTTCTCTTTTTTTCATGTAAACTTATTCTTGGCGATGATAAAGTTGGACTGTCACATTGAGAGAAGGTTCAAATTAAACTGCAAACTCACAGTACAGCAGATTATTAGCAAATATTTGTGATATAAGTAGTTCAGATCTTTTCACTTTAAGAAATTGACAGATTTGCTAGCTACTTTTTATTTTCTAAAGGAAAAAAAACAAATGAAACTGTCCTTCTTCACACTGGTGCTGAAGAACATCCACATTAACAGTGTGGCGTATTACTCCATGTCCAGCTCTCACCTAAAGCTATGAATACTAAATAAGTCAGAGTTTGTTGAGCTCAGCCTTAAGTTACGTTTTCCCTTCTTCTCTTGGAAGAAAAGTTAAGTTATTTGGAGATGTAGTGGTCCGCTTTAAATCAAATTTTATATAAAAATTAATCATAATTCAGTCTTATCTTTATGGCTTGCCTTTAATGTCTGAAATCCAAAAACTATGGCTTTGAACATGAAGTATAATCAGCTTATAGCCTAGTAAACTAGCCCCACCCGCCAGCGGCCAAAATCCTTTTTGCCTGCGAGTGTTCTAGCCTCGATCACCCAGGCCCTAGAACTGGCGGGCCAATCACAACGCAGACGTGTCTTTAAATTTCTGGATGCAATGCGGGCGGGGTTTTGAGGGTGTGACGACAAAGCTGCACGACGCTGGAGAAAGCACAAGGAAGATGGCAACAACTATTGAACAGTTCTCGTTTGACTGAGCTTTGGAATCAGTTCTGGAAGGATTAGACTTGGGGTTTTCGTTGTAACGTGAGTAGGAAGAGGCTCTATGATCATTCATTTTTAAGGAGGACGTATTCGTCGTTTTACCGACAGGCTGTTTATTTACACTCCCCCACCAGCTTTCTGTCGCTCTTACTACGTCACAGTCAGTTGCTCTCATTGGTCAGAGCGTTGGCCAATAGGCACAGACATGGTTTGAAAAACAACGCGTTGTTCTCATCAACAATCTTCTGATGTCTCATTCATCGAGGCCAGATTAAATTACACATTTAATCTCACATTTACATGTAGTCTGGTTTATCAGGCTAATCAGCTGACAGCTGAACTGCAATAAAAACAGAAACCACCTGAGCCTGGCTAACAATCCACAAACATCCTCTGTTCTACACGCCAAACAAGTGGAAGTGAAAGCAACAAGGTGGTTTTTTCTATTCACCTTTTTCAGGTCCAAGTGTAAACACCCTCTGCCTCCCATCTGTTGTTTTGGCTCATTCTGTAGCTTCATCATTTCCCCTTTGGTCGCTCACACAGCACTGCCAGCTCCTCTTCACATTTCTGCCTGACTCCTCCTGATTCACTCAGATCTTGAACTACATACTCGTCCCTGTCGACCCTCTCTCCCATATTATACATTCACTTTCAACAAGAAGAGCTGCTGCTTAGAAGTGGAGTAAATCATTTCATCAGCATAAGCTTCTGTTTCTGACGAACTGAAGTTCACAGCTGCTTGGTTATCGGACCTGAAAAGTCTGTTAATCAAGACTCCATTGAAAAGAAGAAGAAAAAAAAGACCACAACCCCAAAAACAGCCTTTTGATATCATAAACCAGACTGTTTGACCTAAAAGCTGAGGAAATCCCCCATTTATTCTTTTGTTTTTGCTTCATAAAAATATTATTTTCACAACCAAATATAATTTAATTCCTAGCAAAACATCGGTATATACTTTGTTTAGTTTCTCTTAGTTATCTAAAAAGAACATTTTTATGTTTTAAAGACTTTACGTATCCTAATTTGTCCCAGATTTCAAATCCAGGATTTGAAAGTTTTTCTATTCTATTTTCTATTCTCTATATGTTCTTAAACATTACATTATGCAGACGACGCACATGTATATCTCTAGAATAAATGTAAAGAGTGAGGGATAAACAGCTTCATTTATGATACACGTTTCCATAAATGTGCTGCAGTCCTGCACATGTGAATTTCTAAGCAAGAATGTACCAAATAACTTGTGCAAAGCAGAATAGAGGGCTGACAGCAGCTGTTATAAAATACTGTGCTCTTTTGATCACTTCTTCTTAGTATAACAGCAGAAAATAACTAACACCCCGGAATCCTCAGATTTTAAATGATTTTCATTAAACCAAGAACTTTGTTTCCAGTAGGAAATGAAACAGGAACCTCCTGGTAAAAGAAAAAATCTTTCAGTGTTGTGTTTATGCAAAAATTAATAAATGAAAAATACAATACATAAAATAAATAGGTTCTCAGCGATCAATTCAATTTATTTAAAAAAATTTACTCCTCATTAGTAAATGAAATATTCCTCAGGTTAAAAGTACTGTTGCACCGGTATCAGTATCAGGAGGGGTCCCGATCCAGCACTAAAATGCTATTATCGGTATCTGTGAGTACCAACAAATAGGGCACTGATACCATTTTGAGAGTTAAAAGTTTATTCAACTATTGTCATCCATTCCAGGTAGGCAATAAAAAGTTCTACTGGATTCACTTTGTATTAGTCTTTTTCCTGCTTCACAAAGGTAGGCAGCAGCTTGACAAAGCCATGATGGCTATTATTTTACATCCAAGTAGAATGCCGTTCTTCATATATAAACACACACATAAATTTCAAACAGATGGTATCGGTATCGGCCAATAATACACAGCCAGGTATCGGGTATCGGGGCCAAAAAATGGCATCGGCGCAACACTAGTTAAAAGTATTATGAGGATTATTATATGGTGAGGAGCTCCCTGTCATTGAGGGTTGGGGGCCTCCATGCTATCACCCTAATCTTTCCCTTCAGATTCTATATCAGAGCCAGGTAGGGTTTTTAGCTATATATCATTATTTTATACCAATATCTACAAGGGTTAGTGATTGTTTTGGCTTAACGGAAGGCATTTATTTAGCAGGGTTTTCCTTGTGTGCTTCATCAATTAAAAAACAAACAAAAAAAAACGTAAAAAAAAAAAAAAACTGTATGCAGAACAGACTCTGCTGCACCTGAGGCTACCGTCCAAAAGAAATCACAGGTTTTCTGAAGAGGAGACTTTTTAACAACTATGTTTGTTGTGCATCTGTGTGGTGATATCCAGAGATTATTAAAAAAGATTAAACAGACCAGAATGCTCATCCTTTATCTGCTAGAAACCACAGAAATTAAGCTGGGTGTTTTTTTCTTTTAAATATAGTTTTTTTTAGAAACCTTTGTCAAATCCGTCATGTTTTGTCCTAACCATTTTTCCAACAAACTACTAATGGAAGTCCACTAAAAGGATAACCTGAGGTACTTGTTTTAGCCATGCTTACACTCTACTCACTTTTAAATGTGGATTAATCAATGCGGATTTATAACATCATAATACTGAGCCACTTTATTAGGTACACCCTGTTGTACAGCTATTAGTCATCCAGTCACAAGGCAGCAACATAAGACGTATGAATCTAGGCCTATGAGCGGCTGTTCCAACCATTGCAGTTCTGAATTCTCCCGAGTGAATAAAGTGAATGTGATTGGTTGTTTATCAAGGGGGCGGGATTGTTGTGGCAGAAGGTTCGCAAGCAGTTTGGTTATGGCCGTTGTCCCGGAAGCATCTTGCTAACCAGTTAGCAACTTAGTGCTAGTAGATTCCCAATGGGAAATTCCATTGGGACCAAGTAGCACTAAATTGGTGGCTTAGAAACGACGCTGTCAAGGAACGCTATGGACAGAGGAAACATGCAAGAGGAGGAGAGTTTAGTGTCGGAGGTCGCGGATGAGTCTCCTCCGTCATACATTTTTTATTTAGAGGAGGAAAGCGGGACGAAGATGTTGTGGAAGAGGACGCCATGGCGGCAGAAGTTTGGTTTGGTGTAGAAGGCTTACAGCCGTACATGTTTGAGCCCTTGCCTCGCAACGCTGCCAGTTCTGCTGAAGATGCAGACGTCAATTACCGTGAACACTGGGACGCAACTCAATTCGAAAGGAAATTAATCTTATTTCTTATTTCAACCGTTGCGTATATTAGCTGCAACATATGACTCAAGATGCTATGACTGAAAAAATGTGATTGACAGATGACCTTTGATATATGATTGGCCGAATTTAGGTGTTCAGGCTGACGTATAACTAACTGGCCTGCATAAGGTAACGAGAAAAAAATTATTTTAAGACAGCATTTTTTTTAAAATAGAAATTTTCTGAATTTTGGGACAATATCGTCTGATAAAGAGTACATTTATATACATGTTTAAGCCAGAATGACTTGACATTTAAATATAATTACCCTACAACTTCAAAAAAGTAAATATATTTGAACTCATATTTTCTTAAAGTTGTAGGGAAGTCATATTTAAATTTCCAACTACGACAAACTGGTCACAACCAAACATACTTGAGAACCTTCGGCTACAACAATCCCGCCCCCTTGATAATCGACCAATCATCAAAATAGAAATTTTCAAACTTTAGGGACGATATGGTCTGATAAGAGTACATGTAGGATACATACATACCCTATAATTGTAATAAAGTACAAACAAAGCACCAGAATGGGGAAGTAAAAGGATTTCATTGAACTGGAACAGGTCAGATGTTTCTGTTACCCAGGCTGGCCTAAGCATTTCAGAAACATCTGATCTATGATCCTTTACACAAAACCATCTCTGGGGTTCAGAGACAAACTTTCAGAAAGGGAGGAAATTTTCAGAGAGCAGCAGCTGTGTAAACAAAGTGAGCTATTTTGGAAGATCTTGGCAGTGGTGATTCCTGGTGTGGGTTATCTTTAGTAAACATTAAACATCTTTAAAATTCCACATCAAATATCACTGTTTTTGCTCACCATGGCCATCCTGATATAACATCTGTGTGCCGATCTTCCTATTGTTCTTTTCACCATAGCAAAAAGGTTCAACCATGTCTTAAACACAATGGGTTTGATCCACTTTAATGGCCTCCATAGATAACCAGTTTTAATCACATACAGCTCCTCTTGGATGTGGAAGATCTGGACACTTGTTTTATGGATATGCTGCTACAAGCATACTTGGTGTCATGCTTGGTGCCTTTGAGTCGATGCAATCAACTGGTTTTCCTTAGAGAGAAAGCTTTGAATCTATTTGACTGTATGATCTGGTTGAACTGTAAAGTGCCTTTAGATGACATGTGTTGTGAATTGACGCTATAGAAATAAACTGAATTGAATTGAAAATGCAGCCAAACTCTGCAGCTGTTGTATCAACATTCACCAGAATATGGAGTTTTGTTTCATTACTGTTGAAAGCAAAGAACAGGTTTTCTAAAATGTGTGTGGGGGGAAAAAAGTTAACAAATTTTGTACATTGAAATAAGAAAACAAATGCAATCAATGAAACTTTGAAAAAAAAAGTTTAAATCAAAAAAAGGTTTTTGAGAGTAAGTTTGCTATTTTTACAAATTTACTTTTCATATTTTTTTCTTTTTAGTTATTATTCTTTTTATTTTCCAATTTGTTTGTGAAATTGTATTTTCCCCAGGCATGCAGGTGGCGCAGAGGTTAGTGGCACTACCCATGTACGGAGGCCTTAAGGCCAATTTATGCTTCTGATGCATAGCCTATGCAACCGTCAAATCTGTCTCTGTGCACGACCATGCCCCCCGCGCAGCTGTTATTGGTCCTTAGTATGCTTTTCCGGCTATCTGGGTGGTCGTCCTTCTCGATTTGGTGTTGGGGTGCACCATTTTTAAAAACCGAGGAACTACAACAGTGGACAACTACGACGAAAGATTAATCGAGGAGGTTTGGAAGTACAATCTGTCGAATTTCTCGCAAGTTCTCAAATAGGTTCCCCCTTGCGCTTTGGTGGGAAACCGATCTGCGTCCCTAGAAATTCCAGACTGACGGTGCAGAAGCATTCCAGCAAAACTGGTTCACGACCAGACCCAAGTGACATTTGATGCGTGCGGTTGCAGAACAATAATCTGCCCTTTAGTCCTCGACGTGGGTTCGAATGAATCAAGATTGATTGACAGATGACCGTTGATATAAGATTGACCGAATTTAGGTGCACAAGCTGACGTATAACTAACTGGCCTGCATAAGATATCGAGAAAAAACACAAAGATTTTAAAAGAGGATTTTTTTTTTTTTAAATATCGTACATTTATATACATGTTTAAGCCAGAATGATTTGACAATTAAATATGACTTCCCTACATCTTTAAAAATGTAATATATTTGAATTCATATTTCCTTAAAGTCATAGGGAAGTCATATTTAAATTTTAAAATTCCAAAAAAAACCGGCCACAACCAAACTTGCTTGCGAACCTTCCGCCACAACAATCCCGCCCCCTTGATAATCGACCAATCACATTCACTTTATTCACTCGTGTAAAGTAATGCACCACTTGGGAGAATTCGGAAACGTAACGGTTGGAACAGCCGCTTTCCTAAGACTTTAAACCCTGAGGAAGAAATGAATATAGACTACAGGTTCCTTTAGAAAAAAAAAGTAGATTTGTTGAAAACCCCTTTAGAAAGGTAAAATAAACATTTTGACTATTTGCTGAGTGAGAAAGACATAAAGACAGAATGATTCAGTTCAGTAAATTCCATTAGAGATGTTGATCCTGATGGCTCAAAAAATTTACTTCTACCATTTGCTGCTCTAATTCATGCAAACATTTGGCAGATTTGGACATTTTTGAACATCTGAAAGAACATGAATAAATCAACGTGCCGCTTACCTGCTCTTCATGTCTGCGTGCTGACTGTTGCGATCCTCTTGGCTCTGCGGGTCAAACACACATATAGACGTATCTAAATAAAGGCTAAAGCTGCTCAGCTTGAGGAGTTTAGTCACAGCGGGAGCTCAGACGTCCCTACGCCTAAACCCTTTAATCAAAGCTCCATTTCTGACTAAACAAACCCCAGATCTATACCAGGATAGAGGGGACGGCTTCGGGGAAAGGTCAGTACCTCGTCATGATGCTGAGACTTCTGGGAGGCCAGCTTCAGCTCCTCTCTGAGAGGAAACAGACAGAAAACAAGAGAGGACACAGATTCGTGAGCTCTATCGGAAACAGGACCATCAGGTTTATGTTATATCTGTGTCACATCTGTTCAAATCTCTAAAACACACTCACACAGACAATACATCAGGCTTCCTGTCAACAGCTGTGAATGGATTAAATAACCCATAAAATAATCAGTTCTATAAAAAGAAGCGTTCATCGGAATTTTATCTTTTTATTTTTGAGAAAAATTGTTTTAATTGAACTTAAATGACAACAATATCATTGGTAGCCATCAGGACGGTTGATAGCGATAGTAGTTTTGTGGTAAAAACATGATATTTAACATAGTTTTAGTTAATTGTAGGTAATGTATATTGTTTTGCCAAAATTTAACAGGAAAATATTTTATAATAATGACCACAGCACTTTTTTCCTTTTACAAAATACATCCTCATGACATTTTATTTAAAGGAGTTTAACTACTTCATATTTATATGTTAATTTTTTTATAGTTTTGTGCTGACAGGTCTACAGGAGGAGTGTTTAAGGCTCGGATGTATGGTGTGTACCAATTTAGAGGCTAGGTCCTTGGAGGAACATTAAAATCAGGAGGACGGAAGATTTTTGTTATAGGTTCAAACAGGTCTAACCTTCCTCAGCGGACGTGGCTCCTAAATATGCATACGCTCTGTCGCCTAGCAACCATGACGGTTGATTAACAAAGCAGGCAAAGAATGGATGTTGAACTTCTTACTGTTGTGGGTGCTCATTTCATGTTTGAGGGGTTTCAGCAGCAGTAGCGTCATCTCATCCTTTCAATAAACCAAACATTACCCGCCACATATCTGACTCAATAACCATTTAAAACAACTATTTTCATTAATTTCAGACAGAATTATTCAAATACTTGTATTATATTAAACTGAACTTACAATATTCACCACTGTTCAGTGCCAAGTACCTTTTTCCTCTTGGCACGGAGCAGCC